GACGCATTAAACATTTTAATTGACGCAATACTTGTGAACCTATCGTGATTTTAAAAAAGTTCATTTTTTTTGCACACTACTGTATGATTTCCTAGGGATCGACGTTATTCTTTAGATCATCATCATCCATGTTTTCTTCTGTGTAATAATAGCTAATAAATATTTTTAGAATTTTTTTATTATAAATTATATATAATAAATTCTTATAATTAGTTTTTAAAATATAATATATAAAATTTATATAAAGTAGAAAAACTGTTAAAAAACAATCAATTTTACTTTCATATGTTAAATATAATTCTTAAATCAAAATATAATGTTAATTTATTTTTTATTTTTTTTTTCAAACTGTTTTTCCTTTTTTTACTACAAAGGTTTTATATATATTTTTTATATTTTATATATAATATCTTTTAAAAGATATCATTTTTAACTATATTATTTGTAATTAATTTTCATTATAATAAGACCTTATGAATTTATAAAGTTTTAATAATTTTAATTATAAAAATTTTGATAGCTTATTTAATATATTATTATATTTGAAAGTATCTTTAATATATTTTATATATTTAAGATAAAAGTTATAATTTATAATTTTATTAATTAAATAATATGAAAAAATATATTAAGATCATCAATGAAATTCAAAAAAATATTTTCTTTTTATTATAAAATACCTGGTATTTTTATAAATAATATCAATACTCAAATCTAGTTTTATTGACTTAATAATATTAGTTTATAAAATATTATATCTTTTAAAAAAAAGGTTTAATTGATCCTATTAATACTTTATCAATAAATGATATCTAAAATCAATTTAATTGGTAGATATATAAAAAAAAAAATGATATCACATTGAGATAAATTCGTTCTGCTCGTACTAATATTTAAAGCTTACCAGATTTTGAAATATTACAATAAATAGTGTAACAGATTAGTTGCACAAAAGATAAGCGCATTGATGGCTTGCATGATATCATTAAAATTTGCCTATTTAACCATCAAAATTTCAAAAGATTTTACCATCGGAACATTCAGGATGTCGATGCGATTTTTATTTCGAAATGAACGATATATCTATGCAAATCCATATTGCATTTACAATGTTTATATTAAATTAAGATATGTTATTCCCAAAGTAAACGTCGCAATTTGTTTACAACGTCGACCATTTCATATCACGTCAGGAAATTTTATCAATTCACCTTTAGACAATAATATGAAAATTGATCCTAACGATCCTTTAGTAACTAAAATTCGTTCGGATCCTCAAATCCTTACATCTATTCAAGAATTTTCTCAACTTCTTCAAGGAAAAGGAATAGACTTAAGTACAGGTCAAATGCCTTCTATGTTACAAATGGCTAAGCTTGCTTCAGATAAAGAAGTAAGTTCAAAAATTATGGCCATCAATTCGCAACTTACCAAGGCGGGAATAACTTTAGACGCGCAAACTGCACAAAAATTTATGAATTGGGCCAATACTGAAAAAACAGAAATTACAAAATCAACGCAACCATTGGTTTCTCAAGCAACTCCACAAGCAGCAACTCCACAAGCAACTCCGCAAGCAACTCCACAAGCAACTCCACAAGCAACTCCACAAGCAACTCCAAAACAAGTTATCCCATCGACTCCTAAAGCAAGTACTGTTGAAGAATCAAAAGTGACAACATCTGCAAAGACACCTGTAAAACAAGCAGCAAAACCTCAAGAGACACAAATACCAAAATTGACAAAGGAAAAAGCAGAACAATCACCACAAAAAGAATCAGTTGGATTTTTTACAAAGTTCAAAACATTGATATTTGGAACTAAAAATTGATTTTACAAGAAAAAAGAAAATTTTTTAAAATTTAGAATAAAAAGTTATTTACAGAATTATTATAATTATTATTATAATTGGAATTTAAATAAAGAATTATTAGTCAGAAACAACATTTTCATTCTTTCTAAATAATTGACTGTCCTCAACCCATACCGCTCTTGAGTTTACTCCTCCAGTTAATGTAAATGTATTTATGTGTTGAAACAAGGTTTCTATGGTTGGTACATCTAGATTATATTGTGTTGATAACTTTTCTGCTGTAAATTCATTAGGAGCTTTTTTCCTTTGTTCTAGCATTTCCCTCAACTCATAGACAAATATACGATTTTTTGGTATATTTCCCCCGATTTCTTCATCAAATGCTTTTCTGTTTCTAAGAATATTTAACATTTCATCCGACTTTCCTCAAAAAACAAAGGATTGGTAAATATTAACAAAAAATATATATAAATATGTACTTGTAAAATAAAGTTTATAAGATTCTACCTGTTTAAATGTGGTCTTTTCTTTTGGAAAGTTAACATATCCAATTGTATTTAAATTTTTTAATAAACGGGTATCTTTTCCATCTCCTGTAGCTAAATAAAATAATGAATTATTTTCCCAAGGAAAACCTACCGAATTTTTAAATTATATACCTTTGTCATTTGTTATCGGTTCATTAGATACTTTTTTGGATGAATGTGTTTCAATTGCACTTGATTTGACATTTGAAACTACATTCTGTGGTAATTTTCTTGAAATTTGTTTAGAACTTTGAGCCCCCATTTTAAAGAATTAAGGTGAAAGATTTTTAGGCGCGCGTTTAAATTTTTTAGATTATCTAATCATAAATTAATCCAGATCAGCTGATAATTATTGTCTGAACACTGAACACACCTTTTCTCAGCAAACGCAAAATCAAAAAATAAATAAAAAAAAATCTAAATATTTATTAAATTTGAAGGTCGTTTCTCTTCCAATAGTAATGGGTCAATTCCTTTACAATGTCAACAAATGCAACAAATGTTAACGAAGATAGGAAAAGGCTGAAAGAATTATTAAGGTGAGTTTAAAAGACTTTTTTTTTGAAAATGAAAGTATATTACGATTTAACACCTAATTTTTTTAGTGACGCTTCTGAACTCTTAAAGAAGCAAGAACAGCAAAAAAAAAGAGTCAAAAATCCCGAAAACACTGCGGATTTAGACGACGAAACTGAATTTTTGCGCAATAGGTAAAAGAATAATATTTGATAACAAATAAACTTTATTTAACTTATTAATATTTATGAATATAGCCTCAAAGATGTTTATGAAGATATTCTTCTTATTGATCTTAAAATCGCTAATGAACATAACATCGAAGAAAAACTTTGGAGAAACGTTTTTTATAGTCATATAGAAGAACTTAGGCAAAAATTGCGTAAAGTCAGTTTGCTTGATTCTATCAAAATACATAATAATACTGATCAAACTAATCAGTCTAGAAATATTTATTATTATTTAGATTAAACCCGAAAAGGCCGAATATCAGACCACATATCTCGAGTTATGTCGGTATTTGGATCTAGGTACTGGATTTTATCATACGATCGTTAATAGCTTAAAAATTCGCGAAAATATAGATTTAGATTGGATTGGAATTGGTATTTAAATTATTTTATTTTTTTAATTGATTAATTGTTTGGAATCTAATCTTTCATATTTTTATTTATAGAGATTTTCAAGAATAGTGTTAACTCGTCAGCTACTGCAACACGTTCTGCGTCAAAATATCGCAGACGAGAACTCACTGTTGAATGCATTCAACGATGTCTCATTCATTTAGGTGATTTTGCTCGTTATCGTGAGACATCTCTTGATGCGAATGAGAAACGTTGGGAGTTTGCCAGACATTTTTATACAAAAGCAGCAAGGGTTTATTGCGAAAATGGTAAATTTTCGAATATTAATGAATTAATATAAGAATTGTTATTATATCTTTGATAATCTATTATTAGGCAAGGCACAAGCACAATTAGCTCTCCTTGCGATGTATGACGATAATGAATTAGACGTTGTTTATTGGTATTGCTTTAGGTAACGTATTCCTATTTAGAGAATTGCTGTTAATTAAAAAGATAAGATATTCTAATTTATTTTTTTTCTTAAGTCTTTCGACAAAACAACCTTCTGGTATTTCTTTAGAAAATCTAAAAGTTTTTTATTCGAAATTTGCCCAAAAAGCACGACAAATCAATGAAGATACCAATGATACGTAAGTGACAACTTTTTTTTATTTATAAATATGAGTCATTAGATTGATTTTAAAATTCTATAATTGTTATAGGTTGTTAACGGTTCAGGACTTTGTAAAAAAATTCATGATTATACATTGGTATATTTTTGAAGAAAATGTTGAAAATTTAATCAAAAATGGTGGTATTGAAGACATTTTTCACTATTTTGGATCATCTTTGTCTTCATCTGACGTAAACCTTCGCAATTTGAACATAATCCTTAAAAAGGTTGTATTCATTCTCATGTTTACCATTTGGGATCTGCGTAAAGGATTAGGTAAGATTACCTTTCCTCCAAAGTTATTTAAAGTTATTTGAATTACTGTTATTAAGTTATATTTATATTCTCTAGTGCAAGATCGGATTGTTATAGTTCGAAATCTGCAAGCTATGGCAATTGGATTGGTTTTTGGCTTTTTAGTTCCAGTCGTTGAAAATATTTATTCTTTTTTGAGCTCTGAAGACGTAGAGTTAGGTTGTATAGGATCTGTTGTAGATTTATTCTTACCTACTGTTGTATTATGGTGTGAATATTTGAGAACATTGACTGATCTTTTGAGTCAATTGTATGATCATTCAAAGTCGATTGATAAAGAAAATCAAAAGATTTTTGGAATGTTTTTAATGGTATAATCTGATCACTTTGTATTACACGAAAGTATTTTTTTTTAATATAAATATTAATTATTATTTTTGTTGAAAATTCAGAATTCGAAGAATTTCTTCAAATCATTGATCAATATCTTAAATCACCAAAAAATTTCCAATTTATTATCTGCGAATGATGATCTCTATGAAATCGCTAAACTTGCTCTTTCAGAAGACAGAGAATTTTTAGGAATAGTTCCATTGCGAGTAGTTCATCAAGATATTAATTTCAATGTTTCTGGCAAAGTTGATGTTCTTAAAGTTAGCATTGCTAGATTGATAGTTTTTAGTAAAAAAATCTCTGAAATTAAGGTATGTTAATATGACCATGTATTGTAATTTTTTATATTTTATCGCTTACATTTTACGCTTTATCATTAGTCGTTAGCTTTATTAGAATACAACGAATCTTCCGGACAATTTATGATGATTGACGAGGAATTGAAGGTAAGGCCTTCAATATTTCGAAGGAAATTGGTTAAAAAAATGTTATTATATATTAAGCTTTTTATAGAAAAAGGAACGTCAACGTGTCATGAGATTGATGGCACATCGGTTTTTGCAAGATCAAGTGAATTCTTTGGAAGATAAGGTTAAGAATATTAAGCCTCTACAATCTTCAAGTACTGGGTCTTCAGCTTTAAAGAATTCAAAGGCAAACACACTTATACATTGTGTGGCTGATATCAGTGTATTCCTAAATCATTTAAATTCTGTTAAGAAATGGATAGCGGAGGAAAAATGTATTGTTATTGTACCTTTAGACGGTAAAAATATTTATATTTTCTATATAACTTTGAAATATTTTCTCTTGATAATTATGACAAAAGATAATTATATCATTTTACACATATAGTTATTGATTCTTTGGATACAATTAAAAAAGGAAATAACAAAGAAAATGCACGTGCTAGAGATGCTATTCGTTTTCTGGATGAACAATTGGATCAACAATTTAGCAAAGCAAAGCAGAATGAGAGCGAACTTTTTATTCGTGCTCAAAAAACGAATGAGAAGTTACCACAGTGGAATTGTGCAGAGAATTATATTATTAAAGACGGAATGTTAAATGATAACTCTAGGGGTGTTGTTTATAAAGACCAAAAATATATTAAAGAATCATCAAAGAATTCAGATAACATTTATATACAAGAGGATAAATTTAACGTCATGGATGTACCACTAGAATATCGTCCGGCTATAAGTTGTTGGTTATATTATGCTAAGATTGTAAAGATTGACGAAATTTTATTTGTATCAGAAGATCAATATTTGAAAAATTATGCAAAGATGTTTGGTATTTCTGTTGTAGGTGTTGGATTTATTTAGAATAAACTATTATTTCTCAGTTAAATTGCAAATTTGTAGATTTAATAAGTTGAGATGATACTTATACTATTTTAACTCTTCTTTCAATACCATCTTTCAACACTTTCTCAACTTTTTGTAATCTTGTGATTGCTTCTAATCCAGACTCACCTCGATTGTTAATTATAATCATATTCGGATTTGTTATATCATAACTAGTAGCTACTTTATTGCTTCCAAATGATGATGTATTATTGTTAACTGAATGTTGTGGCTCTACCGTGTTTGGATGATGAGATACGATTTCTTCAAATGATTTCTGTATAGTTTTAAAGTCCTGAAGACTCTAATTATTCATGTTTAAAAATAATAAAACATGTTATCTAACTAATAAATAAATATTAAATTATAAATATAAATATTGAATATTGAGATGTAATTATTACATTGCGTATTTTACCGAGTCTTTTATTTGCTTCTTGCACTTGATGTCCTAGGCCTAAAACATAGAATTTCATTAAACTAATTATAAAATATAAAATATATGAACCATAAAAGCGGATTTACCTTCAACAATTTTTTCGCCATATTTAAAGTGATCCTTTTTGATCCATGGAGAAATTTCATTATCATAAATTTCATTAAATGTTTTAAACTGAGACGTTAAATTATTAGCAATCACACATAGTTCATCGTGAGTTTGATCGTCTAAATCCGATTCATCCAAATATAGGCATGCTTCTTGTTCTTGTATGCAATTGAATTTTGCATTAAGGTCTTGTAATTCTTGAAGTTTTTTTTCCTTCATGGATTGAAGTATAGAAAGATCAAGTTTTCCAACATCCTCCGCAGACTTTTCTTTTCCAATAATTAACATTACATCCCTTGGAAATAAATCAATTTCTTTTGTGACGATTTTATTAAATAAATCACAATCTTTTGATATGGAATCAATTAAACAACATGATTTTTTGAAATCATCTGGTTTACTAAGAGAACGCAATGCAATTAAATTTTATGCATCAATTCAATGTAAAAAAAAAATATGTAAAGAAAAAGAAAATATGAAATTTACATTGAATTTGGTATCTTAAAGGAATCATCATCGTTAAGAAATATTCGAGAAGTTTTTAAGATATTTAATAAATTGAAGTAGAAACTTATTAACCGATCATGAGGAGCTGTTGCCTATATCAGAATTGATTAGTATCGTTCAAATTCTTTCCCCCCAAAAAATAATTAATAACACTCACATCAATTAAATCTGTTTCAGTTGTTTTACATAATCCTAGCGAAGCTGAGATTTGAGTTAAGCCTGCATTGTATATATTTAATTGATTTGACTTTGGTACTTTGTAGTAATATAAAAAAAAAAAAACTTACTAACTTTGTAATCTTCCAATTTGTTTGGAAGATAAATTTCCAATAGCCGTCTCATTATTTGGTGAAATTATGTTCTTTCCTAGACGAACATCAATCCTTTTATTTCAATTAGATTTTTTTTTTTTTCTTTAAAAAAAATATATATACTAAACTTTAAAAATATTTATTTACTTTAATAAAACCCATTCAATGAAATCACAAGCTATCGCTTTATCATTAAGAATTTGATGAAGCGTAAAAGGAGAATTAATTTCAAATAATTTTTGTGAAACTTCTTCTAATTGTTGATTCATAACTTTGAATATATGTTTTTTTATCAAAGGGTGATAAAAAAAAGTAGAAAATGAAATGGACGCGTTAAATTCAACTAACAATTACGCGTTAATTAACCTGGTTAAGTGACCAATCAAAACAGGTAAAAGTTTTTTATACAGTTAAATTTAAGTGTATGTTATCGGGGATTTGGAAAATTAGACAGCCACGATAAAGAACGCGAGATAAAATAAGCAATGAGGATGATCGAGAAAAAATGAAAAATAGAGATTTAAAAACTAATTTTATCGTTTATAAGAATAAGAAGTTTAGCAAATTACCTCTAAATATTCCCGTTATTACAGGATTTACCGTTAATTATTTTATGCATTCACTAATTCATCTTTTACATTTACTTTAATATCTTCTTCAATTCAGTTTTTTTTAAAAAAATATAATTATTTGATAATAATTCTATTGCAACTTCAAAATTTCTATATGGTAAAGATTTTTAATTATTGGTTCTCCAACAGTTTTTTTTTTATTTGCCACTTTAAGATCATATTATAATCAAAATTGAATTCAGATCTTTTAATCTTAAATAATGAATAAATAAAAATTATTGTAATTATAAAATATGATTTTATTGACAATACTCTTATATTATATAATTACAAAGAGTATTTATAATAAGTTTATTATTAACTTCAGCTTGATAAAATATGCTTATAAGAAAGGAATGATTATATAAAACTTAACTTTATATACAATAATAATGATAAAGTTTTTACTATAAAATAAAATCAATAAATATTAATATTAATAATACAAATATCTCATACACAACTGCACGTGAATGGCTGCATATGCTCGGCTGGGAATACAAAGACCACTCAAAAAAACATTTATTTTAATGGTCATGAGCGTGAAGATGTAGTATACAATTTATTCTAATACTTTTTATATAGATCATAAATGATTTTAGATTATTGGTTAGGAATAATTAAAGTTAAAATTAAAAGTAAATTTAAAAAGTTAATTGATTTTTAGTTTTGATTAATAGTTTTTTTAATTTATATCAAAAGTGTAATAAAAACTAGGAAACAAGAACTATTATTAACGTTAAGTCTAGAATAATCTTAATTAAAAAATTCTTTTATACAATTACAAAACCAATTAGAATGATTTAATTATTGAGTAAATGAATATTAAGACACTTTTATATTATATTAACTGATTATATATTATTCTTTGCTTTGCTTTAGACTAATAAAATTTATAAAATTGATTAATCATTAATACATATATTATATTATTTAAATAAATTCATTAATTTTTAATATTTTAAAGATAAGAAAATCATATAATAATTGTTAAAAATAGTATAGAGTATTAACTAAATTTTTATAAATTTTATTTAATTTTTCAAGTAGTTTAATAAGATATTAATAAATAAATAAAATATTTTATAATGTTTTTTTAAATTAAATATAATTATTTCTAAAATATTGATTATTAATAAAATATTACAAAATTTTTAATAAATTATTATTAATAAAAATGAATTACAATTAATTCTTAATACAATAAATTTTAATATAATAAATTTTATAACAAATTTTTTAATACAATAAAGATTTTAAAAAATAGATGTTACTTTAAAGAAAATTAATCTTATAAAAAAAGAATAAAAAAGAACATTTAGTAAATATTTTAAAAAAGTTCACTTATTCTAAGAAGAAGGAATTTAATTTACTGATTAATTCTCATAATCTAAAAAAGACCAGTTCTAAAAAAGAATATTAGTAAATATTTTTAAAAAAGTTTACCTATTTTAAGAAAAAAAATTTAACTTATTAGTTGATTTCTAAGATTTAAAAAAAGCTAATTCTAAAAAAGAGAAGAAAAAGAATATTAATAAACATTTTTAAAAAAGCTACCATTCCAAAAAAAAGAATTCAATTTATTAGTTAATTTCTAAGGTTAAAAGAAAGCCAATTCTAAAAATAAAAAAAAAAATCAATAAATAATAAATGAAAATTAAAGATAAAAATAAAAAATAAAAAATAAAAAAAATAATAAAAAATCTCACATCTAAAATTAAAAAATAAAAAAAAAAGTCTGTTAAAAAACAAAAAAAAATTCGTTTTTAAATTTACTATTATATAATTATCTAAACTATTCTAATTAGTCTAATTAGTAATATTATTATTATAATAAATAATTCATTATATATACTAAATAATTTATTGTAGTAATAATAAATTTTCTTATAATAAAAATCTAATTAGTCTAGATACTAAATTTGTTATATCAAATTTTAACTGAATAAAGTATTTATATAATAAAGATCATTATAAAAAAAAGTATAATATATTTATATTATTTGATTTTTCATATTCAGCTATACATTAGTATCAAATTTTAAAAAGTTATAGTTAAAGAAAAAAATATTTAATTATTTTTAAGATATTTTATTTATTATGTTAGAATGAATATATATATAATAAAATTTTAAATATAAAGAAAAATAAAATTTAATTTATAAGTTATTTCTGATTGAAGAAGGAAAAAAAAGGTAAAATAGAATATAATTTGAGTAAAAATGTATTAAATAATCAGTTAAATTGAAAAATATTTATTTAAAAATATAAATTTATTTAGTATTTATTTAATAAAATAATAATTTCTTACATAATTTGTAAATATTACTTATTTACATTAGAAAATTAAAAGATATTTGTATTTTATTATAAATATTAGATTTATTTAAAATAAACTATTATATTTTGATTAAATTGTAAATTATAATTAAGATACTTATATTATTTTAATACTTTTTTCAATATTGTTTTTTAATCTTGTAATTGCTTTTAATTTAGATTAATTCTAATTATTAATTATTATCACTTTTATATTATACTAAGTTGCTGGATGAAACATAAAAGTTTTGCAAGTCATCTAAATAGTGAAAAGTAAAATTTAATAAAATTATATTTAAAACCTTATTAAAAAATCTTGAAAAATTCAAAGAAAACATAAAACTATATCAAAGCTTATAAAATACTTTAGTTAAAAATTAGTGAAATTAAAGTTTAGACATTTTGTCAAATCTAAAATGTGTTTAAATAAGAAACCTTATTTGATATTGATAATGAAGAAGTTAAAGTAATAGTAATTTTAGATTATAGCTCATCTACTAAAATGAAAACGAAAAAAAAATAAATTCTTAATTCAATTGATCAAAAATTAACTGAATAATAGAATTTTGATGCTAATAATAACTAAATTTAACAAGACTGATTTTATTTTTATTCTTTTATCCAATTCTGATATAAACAAAAATAAAAGAAATTAATTATTATTAATAAAATTTATTATAGAAATTTTACTATTAATGTTAATAATTAATATAATTAATTAATTGCTAATAAATATTGTATAATAACGACTTTAGTGTCTAGATAATTATAAAAAAAATTATGATATTAGATAATAATTATTACTCTAGTTTGTAAGTTAAGCAATAAATTCAAGATCACAAATACTTTATAGATACTAGAGAACAGTTTCAGAAACCATTGTTAAATCTAAAACATAAGTATAATAAAAGAGACCAACCATGTATCAATTCAAATTTTAAGTAAGTGAATAAATAGACATTTTCATTACTATTATTCATATATACAGTATAAGTCAAAGTAATCAAAATTGTAAAAAAATTCAATAATTCAATAACTTATAATAAAATTTTACAATTTTATTGTTAAATATATAAGTATTATGTATATAAAATTTTAGATCTTTATCTTATTTTCTTATATTACAATTATTTTTTAAAATAAAAATATAATTAAAATTTTAATATATAATGTATATTTTATATAATTATTTATTTTATAAATATTTTAATATCCAATAATTTAATTTATGCAAAAAATTTTTTATTTTATAGAGTTTAATTAAAACTACAAAATATATAAAAATTGCATAAATAGAATCATTAAAGACTAAGAAAATTGTATTTAATTTAATTTAATTTTTTTTATTTATTTTTAAAAATGATTGTAGCATAAGAAAAAATGATAAAGTATTAAAACTTTTTATTCATAATATCTATATATTTATTAGAAGTAATTTCAATCATTAGTTATTAAGTTATTGCATTTTTTATTATTCTAATTACTTTTTTTTTCATTATAAACCAATTTGTTTATTTTTTGTTTTTTGTTTTTATACATATCTTGGCATCCATTATTTCAATTTAAATAAACTTTTTTTTTATGTTTTAGAACATAATTAGAATTATAAAATAAAAAACAATTTATATATAAATAAGATTACTAGATGTTGAGAAAATTGTGTTTAACATTTTAACATTATTAATTTTATTTTATTTGAAAAGATAATTGCAGCATAAGAAAATAAGATAAAGAGCTAAAAAATTCTACATATAATGCTTATATATTTAATAATAATATTTTAAATTTGAAGTAATTTTAATCATAGGTTATTGAGTTATTGCATTTTTTACAATTCTGATTACTTTTATCTCGCACTGTAGATAGTCCTTCGCTTACGCTCCGGACTAATTAACACAACAATTGAAGCCATTGACTATCTTATCAATATGACATTTAAATTTTATTCTATTAGTCCGAAGTTGCTATGTATATGCATTGGAAAATACAATTTTATTTTATTTCATATATGCAAGGGGTTTTATTAGTCAACATGTGAAAAAAATAACAAAATAATATCTGTTTTTTTTAATATTCATTAAATAATAAATAATCAACTAACTCCCATGTTAAAATTCCTAATGTTAAAAGTAAAAGTCTCTTTCTTTAAGATCATAACATTGCTAATTTTGAAATTGTTTTTATCCTTACCAAAGCTCACAAATATATTTTTTTTTTTAAAAAAAAAAAAAACTCCTAATAATGCTATACAATATTTTAATATTCTACTGGAAAAAAATCATCTTTTTCTTCGTCATACTTCCACTTCTTCAATTCGGTACCTACAAAATTTCATAGAA